TGGTCTAACCAATGTCCTGTACAGCCGCAACATGACCTCCAAACTCCTATATTCAATTCACTGACAAATATAGGCAAGCATATCAAATGCCTTGTTCACTATCCTGTCAACATGCGACTCCGTTTTGAAGGAACGATGAACTCGCACTCCAAGTTCTCTTTGTTCAGCAACACTCCCCAGAACCTTACCATTAAGTGTATAAGTCCCACCCTGATTTGCCTTTCCAAAATGCAGCACCTCATATTTATCTAAATTAAACTCCATCTGCCACTCCTCGGTTCAACCACCCATCTGATCAAGGTCCTGTTGTACTCTGGGGCAAACGTCTTTGCTGTCCACTACACCTCCAATTTTCATGTCATCTGCAAACTTACTAACCATACCTCCTATATTCATACTCAAATCATTTATATAAAAATGAAGAAAAGCAGTGGACCCAGCACCAATCTTTGCAGCACACCGCTGGTCACAGGCCTCCAGTCTGAAAAACAACACTCCACCACACCCTCTGCCTCGTACTTTGGAGCCAGCTCTGTATCCAAATGTCTACTTGTATTGTAATGTCTCCCTGTATTCCATGTGATGTAAGCTTGCAACCAAGTCTACCATGCAGAACCTTGTCAAACCCCTTACTGAAGTCCATACAGATCACGTCCGCCACTCTGCCCTCAATCAAATTAGTGAGGCATGACTTCCCATACACAAAGCCATGTTGGCTATCCCTAATCAGTCATTTCCAATTACATGTAAATCCTGTCCCTCAGGAATACCACCAACAACTTGCTCATCACTGATGTCAGGCTCCCTGGTCTACAGTTCCCTGGCTTTTCTCTATATCTTGCTTAAATAGTGGCACCACGTTAGCCAGCCTCCAGTCTTCCAGCACCTCACCTGTGGCTATCAATGATACAAATATCTCAGCCAGGGGCACAGCAATCACTTCCCTATCTTCCCACAGAGTTAAAGTTCTGGCAAAGATCTGTGGCTCGGGTTGCGGATGAGGTTGTTGACATGCTCGCCGAGCTGGCTTGTTTTTGTTCAGACATTTCGTCACCATGCTAGGTTACATCATCAGTGGAGCCTCCGATGAAGTGATGTTATTCTACTCCGATTGGAATTTATATTGTCTGGTCTGTTATGGTGGGTACTGTCATTTCCAGTTTTGATCTGTATGGGTTTATAAATGGGGTCCAATTCTATATGTTTGTTGATTGAAGTATGGGTGGAGAACCATGCCTCTAGGAATTCCCGTGCGTGTCTATGTTTGACTTGGGCAACAATGGTTATTTTGTCCCAGTTAAACTGATGGCCTTCATTGTCTGAATGTACAGATATTAAGGTGAGTTCATCATGCCGTTTTGCTGCTAGGATACATCTGATCAGGTCCCAGGGATTTATCCACCTTTACACATTTAAGACATGCAGCATCTCCTCCTTTGTAATATGGACATTTTTCAAGATGTCACTATTTATTTCCCCAAGTTCTCTAGCTTCCATATCATTCTCCACAGTAAACACTGATGCAAAATACTCATTTAGTATTTCCCCCATCTCCTGCAGTTCCACACATAGGCGGACTTGCTGATCTTTAAGGGGCCCTACACGCTCCCTAGTTATTCTTTCGTCCTTAATGTATTTGTCAAATCCCTTGGGATTCACCTTAATCCTATTTGCCAAAGCTATCTCATGTCCCCTTTTTGCCCTCCTGATTTCCCTCTTCAGTATACTTCCACTGCCTTTACACAATTCTAGGGATTCACTCAATCCCTGCTGTCTATACTTGACATATGCATGCTTTTTTTCTTGACCACAACCTCAATTTCACTATTCATCCAGCATTCCCTCACCTATCAAGCCTTGCCCTTTATCCTAACAGGAACATACTGTCTCTGGACTCGTCATCTCATTTTTGAAGGCTTCCCACTTTCCAACCGAACCTTTGCCTGCGAATCTCTGCTCGCAATCAACTTTTCAAAGTTCTTACTTAATACCATTAAAACTGGCCTTCCTCCAATTTAGAACTTTAATTTTTAGATCTAGTTGATCCTTTTCTATCACTATTTTAAAACTAATAAAATCATGGTCACTAGACCAGCAGATGATGGAACTTGAATTAAATAAATATCTGGAATTAAGAATCTAATGATGATCACAAACACATCTGGTTCACTAATGTTCTTTGGGTAAGGAAACTGCTATCCTTACCTGGTCTGGCCTACATGTGACTCCAGACCCAGTGGTGACTTTTAACTGCCCACTGGGCAATTAGGGGTAGGTAATAAATGCTGCTAGGCCAGCAATGCCCTCATCCCGTGAATGAATAAAGATGCCCCAAAGCGCTCCCCCACTGACAACTCAGTCACTTGCCCTGCCTTATTTCCCAGGGGTAGGTCAGGTTTTGCTCCTTCTCCAGTAGGTACATCCACATTCTGAATCAGAAAATTTTCTTGTACACACATATTCCTCTCCATCCAAGCCCTTAACACTACGGCAGTCCCAGTCGCTGTTTGGAAAGTTAAAATCCCTGACCATTACCACCCTATTATTCTTACAGATAACTGAGAACTCCTTACAAATTTGCTTCTCAGTTTCCTGCTGACTATTGAGGGGTCTACAGTACAATCCCAATAAAGTGATTATCCCTTTTTTATTTCTCAATTCTACCCAAATAATTTCCCTGGGTGTACTCCCAGGAGTTTCCTCCCTAAGTACAGCCATAATGTTAACCCTAATCAAAAACACCACTCTTCCTCCTTTGCCTATCTTTCTATCCTTCCTATGGCATCTATCCCCTGGAACATTAAGCTGCCAGTCCTGTCAATTCCTGAGCCATGTCTTTGTAATCGCTATGACCATCCCAGTCCCATGTTCCCCTGAGTTCATCTGCCTTACCTGTTTGGCATCTTGCATTACAATAAATACAGCTTAATTTATCAGTCCTACCTCGTTCTCTGCTCTGTTCCTGGCTGCCTTGACTGTTTGACTTGCTCCTTTTCCCAACTGCACCAGTCTCAGACTGATCTCTTTTCTCACTATCTCCCTGCACCCCCTATTTTTTAAATTCCTGCCTAATTTTCTATATTCTCTCCTCAGAACCTCATCCTTTTCTCTTCCTTAGTTCATATGTGTATAATGACATCTTGCTGGTGCCTCTCCCTCTTGAGAATATTCTGCACCCTCTCTGAGATATCCTTGATGCTGGCACCAGGAAGCCAACACACCATTCTGATGTCTCGTTGTCGGCTGCAGGAATGTCTGTCTGAGCCTATGACTAGAGAGACTCCTATTACAATCGATTGCTTGAAACCTGATGTACCCTTCCTTAAAGTAGAGCCAGTCCCAGTACCAGAAACTTGGCTGCCAGTGCTACATTCCCCGGAGTCCATCAACCCGTATATTTTCCAAAACACTACATACGTTTGAGATGGGGATAGCCACAGGAGTCTCCTCCACTACCTGCCTACCATCCCCACCCTCCCCACCTTTCCGGGGGGTAACCCATCGATCTTACTGTTTTTGTATCTTTCTGTATCTGTGGCTTTTCTCCCTTCCTGAAACTGTCATCCATCACACCCCCTAGCTCCTGTAAATTCCTCATTGCCTCTAACTGCTGCTTCAACCGATCCACTCAATCTGATAGGATTTGCAACCAAACACACTTTCTGCAGACATAATCAGTAGGAAAGTTGAAATTCTCCGAAATCTCTCATATCCAACACGAAGAGCACATCACTCTACTAAAGGCCATCTTTGCACCTTAACAATCTACAGACCCAGAAAACAGCACAATCTCACCACTCTAAAAACACCACTGCTCTAGGATAATTTAGTACCTATGTTTTATATTTTTAAAGTTTAATCAAGAGACAGATCTCAATTAAACATATGATCGCAAAACCCCACCTCTACTCACTACTGTAGATTTACAAAAAAATGTGCATTTAAAAAAAAGACTTAGCTGTTCCCCTGCTGCGAGTTCCCCACACAGGTTTCTCCAAGGTCAGCTGTGAATTTGAGATAGTAGGAACTGCAGATGCTGGAGAATCCGAGACAACAAGGTGCAGGGCTGGATGAACACAGCAGGCCAAGCAGCATCATATGATGCTGCTTGG